GTCAGTTAAATGAGCAGGGAGCGATATAAAAAGGACGTCCTCGGATCTGATGTCTGTGGAAGATAACAGGGTTGCCGATGAGGATGATACGCACCCATTCCTAAAGGAAACACTAATGCACACATGCACTGTCATCCTGCTATGTGACAGTTCCTCCCTATTATTGGAATGTCATCTGACTTGCAGCCTCCAGTTACTCCCTTTATTCATCACCAGCTGTATGTGTATGTGTGCATGTATGTGTGTGTGTGTGTGTGTGTGTGTGTGTGTACTCAATTGTGTTTGTGGTCCAATATACCACGGTCTAAAATGCAAAAAGATGCAGTGACTCGTGCTCATCGACCTCCATCTCTTCAGATCCATCCGTCCTGTCTAATAATATTTGCCAAGTCAACAATAAACCTGATGGATCCTTTGTGTTTCTGGTCACTGGTAATGAAAAGTCTACAGAGCAAAGTAATTTCACTCAAACTCATTTATCAAAATATCTGGATATGTAAGACCCCGTAAGATGAATGGGATCAACATTATTTTAAATCAATATAGCTCCCATATAAAAAGGTTTTAAAATGAAAAGTGCCTGCTGCTAAAATGTTTTCAATACATCTGCTGAAAAGCTTTCCATCCGTAGTTTAATGTTGGATAAGAGGTGCTCCATTTTGAGGCAGGCATTAAATATTGCCACTAAGCTCAAATCGCTTTTTTCAAATAGCGCACCTGGTGAAATAACAAGTAATAATAGAAAGCTGTCTAAATCATTAGGCTCATTTGGTGAAATGCCAAATATTTGCTTCAGTCATTCTAAAATTTAATTATTTAAAAATAATGGAGCCACATTTGCCACACAGTATCCACGTACACACACACACTTGCTCGGGATAGCACTCATATCTCCATTAAGCTGTAAATCCAAGCACACTTTTATGTCTGAATCAACGGACTCTTAATGGTGATTATAAGGGGGAGGAGGAGGTTATTGATGTGTCATTTAAACACGAAGGCACATTAATAAGTGTGTGTGTACGTACTAGAGAATGCCACAGCCAGAACGAGACTTTCTTACACACATATAGACACACACCTGACCTTTTCAAAATCCTTCTGACATTTACAGGGCCGGTGCGAAGGGGCGAGGACAGCTCATTTACATAATGATAGGACCTAACTGAGACAGCCATTAACACAAAATCTAAACCAAGACCGAAGCCCCTCGCTCTGCTGGGACTAATGAGATACTAAGGACTTACTTTTTCCTTCTTTTATTAGGGAAGAAAAAAAACATAAACTCATTATCCATCAATCAACTTCCCCTAAATAGACAAAGTGTAATGCTATTGCTCTGGTGTAATGATGAATGGTCTCAGGCTTGGCAGGCTCACACCATTCACAGGATCTCTCCATGTGCAAGGAAGTCGTTAGAGCTAGTAGTATGAGCTTTTGTACAAGTCGGACTGCCAAAAGAAACATCACCTCAGAGTTTCTGGTTGACTGTGTGTGTGTTTTTGTGGGAGGACAGAGTGGTATGGAAATGTTGGGAAGTTCCAATACTGCCTAAAATGCTGTGTCAGGTATGGGTGTGTATGCAATTTATCAATACATTTTACAGTGGTTTTACACCAAGATAACTCTAAAAGTGAAGCCTACACAAAAGTTGCACCGTGCAGCCACTGGCAACTACTGTTTTAGAGCAGCAAAGAAGAACTGATTTCCAGTAAATAGTGTGACATTAGCCGTTAGCAAAATGTCAGCAATTTGGCAAGACTGAAAAGTCCCACCAGTTGGGGGTTTAATCATGGACTGTATGAAATAATGGACGTAGCTACCCTGACGTCATCCATAGGTTTGTGGACTCACGTTTCTAGCCTTGAGTTAAGCATTTCGGCCATCGCCATCTTAGATTTTAGGAGCCACGAGTGACCATATTTGGACGAGAGGTTGAAGCTGTAGTAAAGCGAGGTGTGAATCTGACTCATCGACTCTAGCAGTGCCTTGTAGAAAGCCTGTCACACAGGAAGCCCCACCCTTAAATAAGTAGAACTTCAAGCCTTGATAAAATGTAAACAGATGAGTTACATAAAATTTCAACACCCGTACAGTTGTCATGAATGTTGAAATTAGCTCTGTTATTGTATCAGGCTGTAAACATGTTTATTTCTACTGTACATTTGGGCATTTTAATATGGGGGTGTTTACCTGCTTCTGTAGCCAGCCCCAAGTGGCCATTCAGGGAACTGTAGTTTCGGCACTCTGGCACTGACTTTATTTTTCAGCCCCAGATTGTGCAGCTTGGCTTTAACTTGAGCCATGCCATACAACAATGACTGCAATCATTTCACAGCCACAGAGGGTGAATAGTTGTTATTTATTTATTTATTTATTTATTTATTCATTTCTGCGGTAGTATTGACTCAGTATTGCTATCGGTCATTACACAAATTCAGGCATCTGAATTGGTATCAGAAAGAGAAAATGGTATCAGAACATCTCTAATTCAAAGTATTTTTCACAAGTCATTTATTGGTATGAAAAACACACTGTTGAAATCCTACAGCCATAGTGACAAACAATGGTGAGGTCACAGGTGGTTTATTTTCCTGTCTGTCTACATGTTGTTCCTGTCATAAACAACATGGCCTTCAGTCCAAAGAGAGGCTGGGAGACGGGGGAGGGAGGCCATTTGAATAAACCAACGACTACCGTCACTCAAACACAAGCACTGGACAGGAGAGAATGAAAGATAGATGAAAATAAAAGACGAGAACAAGGCCCCTGTATGTACCCGACGGCAGGGGTGGGGGATGGCGGGAGAGGGGGACTTTTCAAGTGGCGGGTGGAAAAGAGGGGAGGTGGGGCGTCGCCTGTCTTAATCAGACGCTGCCCGTTTAGTTTTCCAGCCAATCCTGAAACTCAGCAACAACCCTGCACACTGCAGCAGGCTGCCAAAATGCCACCTGTTTCCTCGAAACCAAGAAGAGCCATGAAGAGTAGCTTTGCATCTGAATTAGCCTCTCTGGATGACTTCAGGTATACAAAGACAAACATTGGTTTATTTGTGAGCAGAGAAGGAAGCTGCCTCCTCCCCCGGTCCTGACCCTGCTGCATGCCCACCAGTTTCTCAGGCAGCCAGCCAGCCACCCCCTGCACACATGCAGCTTACTCAGCCATAAAGACAATGCTGCCATAGCCTCATACCCCCCCAACCCCATACTCCCCCGCACATAAGCCCACCTCTCTTCCAATAAAAACATCTCCATGGTAATGGGCCAAGCCTTTCTGACCCACATCCGTGGTCCCTCACAACCTTGACTGGGGGGTGGGGGTTGTATTATAGTGTAATTTCAGAGCCTAAACTGGACCCCCACCTGCCAGTTTCTATTAAGTTTTATATATGTTTCTAACTACATAAGCCTATAATTAAAAATCCATCATCCTCAATATTGAATTTTTAGATTACAGCTACGCCATATTAAAGTGAAAACTTTGCAGAGAATTAAATCACAGCTCTCAGACGTAGGATGGAAGAGGTAAGTGGCTTCTGTGGCAGCTTGAGAGGAAGTGGTAAACGTAAAATGCAAAGTAGAGAAGTGAAAAAACTTCCAGCTCTGCAGTTGCAACTAGAGTTGCACAGCTTCACATTTACCCAAAAGAGGGTCAGAGGTTTCCTCTGAAAAAAACAAGTTAAATGAAAGAAAACTAAAAGCAGTGTTTTCGCTTGTAGTGCCTTGCGTTTTTCTTCACTCATAAATATGTAAAACCTTTTGTTTTGTTTTCCCCCACTTTCCTCCCTCCCCAAAGAGCACTTCATGCTCAGTAAAATCAAATTGGACAAAAAAGGTCCACTGCATGAATAAGTCAGAGGAGTGACTATGCTTATGAGTTGTGATTAAAACAACACCACAATCAACTACGTTACTGTACACTACTGAAAATGTATACAGTGGCTGTGCCAGAGCGTTAGATCTAGTCCTACATTCTTGCCCCAATTACTGCACTAAACAAATAGCTGGGCTAGCAAGGAGGCAGAAAAAATGTTGAACTGGTTTCATGCCACACGCATTCATATGTTAATGGGTTAACTGCATACCAGGAATGTTTTCTCGTGTTTGTGGGCCTGCTGGCTGTGGCTGTCATACCTATAGGCTACCTGGGCTCAAGTGTACTGGAAAAGACCTGAATAATTAACCTGTGGGAACAGGTTGTCTGGGAGGGAGGGGTGGCCAGTTACCTTGTTTCAAGTAAAAGCAACAATGAAGGCCTACACTGGGAGTGGCTCACAAGATGAAAGCTATGCAAAAGTTACAACCTATAAAAAGGAAGTCATGGAAGGTTAAGGGATTTATCATCTGTGTAAATGATTAAGTGTCAAGTTGATGCCCCCTTCTGTTACTCTCCGTGTACATTAAGACCTGTTTCCAGTCCCATTTTTCTCAGCTGAAGTGTAACTAATAGAAGATGATGTGTGGACAGAGGGAAGAAAAGGAGCAGGGGGACGTTGAGGAGGAGAAGGGTGGCTTCAGGGGAAAGAGTACCAAGGACAGACTGGAGCAGTGACTCAGTTTAAAAAGAGAAAAGGACACCTACTACAGAGGCCAGCAGCAGGCACCTACGAAAAACACCTTGCTCTCCACAGAGCCACACCTTATGAAAACTAAACATGGCGTTGAGTCACCGACCGAAACTCGGGTCAAAGAGCGATACAGATTGCTCATGGGCGATAACACGGGAAGAATGAGGAAAATGAAAAGGCATTAGTTTGAAAATCTTATTTCATGTAAATGTAGTCAAAAATTTTAAAGGTTTCAGCTGAAAACCTCGTCTGTACAGCGACTGAGGAAATCACCTGCCGGATTTTCTGCTCCTGTCACCGCCCTGACAGGTGGTCGTCAGGTTTAAATTTATCTCCTTTTCAATTATTAAAGCTCTGAGAAAGAAATGAAAGGCAGTGTGCTGCTCACAACCAGCTGGACATTATTAAGTTTTTATAAGTGGTCATTTCTTACCGTGTTGAAGAAGTATCGAAGCGACCAAGCAGAGCAGTCCGATCATTTTTGAGCAGTCATGCCAATTTCGGGCGTCATGTCTCGCCATGGTCGATTACGGTCCCCTTTATGACACCAGGCACGCAGTCTCTCCGGGAGAGATGTACAAATGGAAACCTTCAGACGCGGTTTAGTTTCTGTGTAGAAGCGCACTCACTCAAGGCGAAATAAACTTGTTTGACTACAGGACAGGGAGGGAGTCCAACAGAGATTTCTTGTGTCAAGTGTCCCCTCACTGCGCCTTAAAGACAGAGTCTGCTAAAATTAATGGAAAAATCCTTGTGAATTCGTCCCGGCAGCGCACAGGTGAATATTTCCTCCAGCTGGTGGATGTAATGAAGTGCTCGCGCTCTCTCCACTCCAAGAACTAGTTCCTCTGAGCGCGCGGCTGTCCGACTGTGTGTGACTGACTGGGTGATGTCATCAGGCTGAGAGGCGTCACAGCCCTGCTTCCCAAAAACCAATTAGGACCGGCGATGGCAGGAGGGGGGGTCTGGGAGCAACTTGTTGAAATCACCTAAAGGATTTTTCCTTCCGCAACATGCAACGAGATGGCCTTTAAAGTGCGCAGCAGGTTGTCACTGTGATTCCTGTCGTGCGTGGAAATGATCCGGCGAGATTCATATCTAGGAATATCCCTATCTGGCGATATTTTTCATGCTCCAACAGCTGAGAAGAATCTGCTCACTCACTCTCAATATTACCTCAAAGTAATCTTGATCAAATTGCATCCGCTCCTCTAAATGCATACAATTAAATCATCAGTAATTTATATCTTCACTAATTGCAGAAGAGCGGCATTTAACTTTTAAAAACAACGTAAAGTTACTACACAATTTATCACCCGGGTCGGTCTTGATACGTGGAAACAGATGATTCTTACGCCCTCTGCTGTTCGCTTCTGCGCACACTCACCAGAGAGATTAGCTCATCTAAACTCCAGCACAGCAGATGCCAAAATCAATAAACATTCATTAATGAACGGCAAAATACAAATCCAGTGGCAGTCAGCAAAATCAAATCAAGAGGAAACAGCTTCTCATGTATCTATTTGCAGACTCGAGCAGACTCTCTTGTTGATGAGATTTTTTTTTCCTCCTTCCACAAAATAACTTCCAATTCATTTTTGCCCTATTTTCCTCAGAGGCAGGGTGCATACTAGCATAGCGAAGGCATTATCTGGTTTAGGTCTAATCCCTATACCCAAGTGTTTTACAGCCAATGTAATTACATCTCCATAAGTCCCACAGTTTAAACTGTGCTGCTTGGTTCCTTCTGTTTTGTTCCATTTCCAGATTTCCCTCCAGTGTCACCCTCTTATTTTCAGACTGAATTTCTGAAGATGCTGATACTGATCAGAGGTCAAATTCTGCATACCAGAAGATAAAAAAACAAAAACAAATTACCAGCTGAAATATGTTCCTCTTTTGGAGATTTGTGTCTTCAAAGAGACAGGAGGGGTTTCATTTTCTTTTCCACTCCTTGCCCACTGTAAATCCAGAGACTGTGCAAGCAGTCTGCTGTGCAAAGACAGCAGCTGTGGGTTTTAAATGCCAACGATACTTTGCATAGCCATATTTTAATTTGCAGCCGTCCTCTGGCCCTGTAGCTGAAATGTTTAAGCACCGGCACAGTCAGAGAAAAGTGTGCAGGGACCACCCGTACGACCACTGCTGCCACTAAATCCTATGCATTCATGATAGAATAAGGAGCTTTAAAGGAAACGGCCACCAAATGAAGGAGTTCATTCCTTTTCCTTCCCATACTCATCCATTTTTCATACCCATACCAAATCGACCTTCACACCTTCCACTTTCCAGCTACCACCCACTTTACTTACACAGTGCACCACCTCTTTTATTCCTCTCCACCTCACACCCCTTACACCTTCCCTTCGTTTACACTTCACTTTCCTCCTCATTCCTCCCCCCTTCTCTGCCTCCCTCTCTCCCTCTTTCCGTGTCATTCGATTTCCTTTGTCCACTCGTCCTTCACTCCTTGCTGTTATTCATCCTGTCCTCCATCCTCGTGCTCTCCGGGGGTCTGTGGCAGTGATAATGAAGCGCATAGTTAACAGATATTAGCTCATTGGCAGTGGATTCATTAGACAGAGCCAAGGCTTATGGTGATTATTTACCCATAGAGGAGGGGCCACAGGATCAGTACCATGCTCTGTGTCAGCAGCCACAGGCTTCTTTGAAGTCACACTGTCTCTGTTCCCTTGCAGCACTCTCACACTTCTCCTCTCCCCGGGTTTTCTCATTCTGTCTGAGCACCTCTCCCTCCACAGCTCTCCCTCCTTGCTGCTTTCCCATTTTTTTTCTTTCCCTGTCATTAGACACCCACAATACATATCTGCGTTCTCTCCCTCTCCCTCTCTTTCGCTATCTCTCTTCGCCGCCCCCATTCACCCAATGGTAATTATGGAAAAATCTGTAATAGTGCTCAGAGGAGCTGATAATACCTTTAGCTTAATTAAAGACATTTATGGGATGTAAAGACATGTAGCCTAGGGGTTGCTGTGCACCCACACTAACCCAAACTCTTTATTTCTCGCTTTTTCATCTCCCTCAATCCCTCGCTTTCTGCTATTCTTATCGTTTTCTCTGTTTCACACACACATTGTGATACACACCAGTACATGCTCATTCCTTTTGTCAGACTGGATGTTAGGGTCAGAAGTTCTGTAACTAATTACCCAGAAGTTCGGCACCAAAGTGTTGTGAAACATTGTAGGCCTACATTATGGGGTAAGGCTTGTGTGGGGTTAGGGTAGTGCCAGTATATCAGCCTCAAACACACACATACACTCACTGGTGATAATGACAGTCTTTTCCTTTCGATTATTCCAGTGTTGGCCACATCCTGTTGGGCTGAAAGATGCGCAGCAAACTTGTTAACATGTCAGTCAGGGACACCAGGAAAGTGAACAAAACTTGGTGTTCTGGAGTGTACTTAGAAAGGTCACAGTGTTGGAGAGACAGCTGGTGCAGTGAGAGTGTTTTTTTTTTTTCTTTCTTTTCTTTCAGTGTGTGATGGAGTCTGGTTTTCTCGCCGTTATTCTTGTCTCCTCTTTTGCAGTGAATTCCTCTCACTCTGCCATCACAGGTACGAAATACTTTCTGTGATATTTGCAAAAATATTCCTAAACTGATCTTCCTGGGGAGTTGTTAGAGAGGAAACAGGGATGAACCTGTTTCCTCCATATTTATTGGCTTTCATGTGACCTTTAGAAAATAGGTTCTCGTTTTTTTAAAGTCTGTCCTAAAACAACACGTCCATATATGAACTGTAAGGGTTGTCAGTCGACGTAATCCACAATACCTCTTCTGTGTATGATGCATTTTAAATGCATTTGAAGCTAATATGATGCTTAAAAACATAAATTAGATAGTCTTGTTCCAAAGTTAGTCTTTTTTTCTACAAAGTTCTCTCTTTTTGTTTCAATATATCTGCCACAGCTCAACAAAGATATGCTGCCCAGGGAAACAGAAAGATGGCATTTGGTACAAAAGAGACTGTAACATTGGAATATACCCATTAGATTTGACTCTGACTGCTGAGACCTCATATAATCTTCAGCAAAACTCTAGAGGTCTTCTTCTACACTGAAATAGGAATGTGGATTTTGTCTTCCATCAGTTACACTGAAATTGCTTTTGGAGGAGATCTATTTGTGGACAGTATGGAAAGAAGAAACAATTACAGGGACCTGTAACCATTTCAATGTATATGGGCACGTGTGTTTTAAAAGGTACAGTGTGTCGAATTTTGGAGGATATACTGGCAGAAATGGAATTTAATTTGATAAGTATGTTTCTTCGGTGCATAATCACCTGAAAATAAGAAATGTGTTTTCGTTACCTGAGAATGAGCCATTTATATCTACATCTGTCATGCAGTCCACCGTGATGCATCACCATGTTTCTACAGTAGCCCAGAACAGACAAACCAAACACTGGCTCTAGATGAGGCCATTCACATTTTTGCATTTTCACGTTGTTCTTAGTTGCTAGCAGCCCCGCTGCGACAATCAGCATCAGAGATACACTAATTTGTAATGTGAAATTTTGTGTTGTTACTGGTTTAAATCACCAGGGCTGTTTGTTTTCAAGTGGAAGGAACGTCTGCAGACAGTAATAATGCTCATGATCAGAATTAAAGTGAGCACAGCACTCATTAAGTTATCAGAGAAAAAAAATGAGCATACATAGCAGCCTGTCTGCAACAAGCCAAACAGCGTAGGAAAAACATTGATTTGTTGTCAGTGTTTTTACCTGTTTAAATCACGTGGTCAGTTTTGGATAGTAAGAGACCTCTGTGGATAATTCAAGTCTAGATTAAAAACCTCCTGAGCAATGAACACTGAAAGAATTCTAACCGGGAGAAGTTTCAGCTGGTTGCAGTCTGTGATCCTCTTTGCTAGATGACACTAAATCCCTCTAAAGCTTACACACTGCTCCTTTCAGACAGACTGGAAAGCATGTGAACCCATACTTCCAGAACAAGATAAAAACACATATCAGCACTGTCGTAGAAGTGCAGAATTGTAGGGCTTTCCAAAAGACTCGCCTGAGTAACTCACCGGTTATAACGCTTGAGTTTCTGTCATCTCTTCCTCAGACTGGGAAGATGTTGTGGTGGCGAGAGAGGGCATGCCTACCACCTTGGTCTGCACTGATACAGTCAGGGGTGCCGTGGCCATTAACTGGATGGTGAAGTCACTTGGTGCGGATGATTTGAAACTGGTTCTCTCAGCCAGCGAAACTAACGAGTTCTCGGGTGGTGCCTCGAGGGCATCCATGCAGTTGAGTGACCCTAACTTTCAAGACACAGGGGTTTTCTCTCTGTCCTTAGTTCCCACAATGGAGGACATTGGTCTCTACTCATGCTTGATTAAGCAACAAGAGAGGAAACTGAAGGAGAAGATTATCCTCTTAGCCATCCTTACAGGTAGGAGAATCAATGGGTTACATGTCAGATTTGTACACCACCTGTACCCCATAGGAATATTTCGACACTATACATCATTAGTTTGTACAGCACTCATATCTCTATATTATCTATTTAAATATTTATTCACATTAGTTTTTTATTATCATTTAAGTGAGATCTTTATACTTTTTAAAGAAATTTTACAGTCCTCTAAATCTCTCTGTGAGGCCTCTTGAGAAATGTTACATAACTCTAACCAACTAATTATTTGCTTGATTGCCAAATTAATGAGAATCCATAACCAAGAAATTACTTTTACCACACTTCATTTCCATTTCCTGCAGTGGTGAGAAGTTACAAAGTGCATTTACTCAAGTGCTGCACTTGTACAATTTTGAGGTTGCACTTGAGTATTTCTATTTTATGCTACATTAAATTTCAACCACTACAGTTCAGAAGTTAATGTTTT